ACATGTTTTGTAAGTGATATTATGTTGGTATATTATGGTAGATAAAACGTTAAACACCTCTTGCACAATTACTATCTGACAGATTGAGATTATCGCTGTCTAATTCGTGATTTACCCGGATAAAAATACAAGCAAATTACCCAAGTAATACTGTACATGCACGCTTTGTTGGGTGTGTTGATTAGTGATAGGATTGTGGTTAAAGATTGACTGACAGAATATCTCTTGTAACCTGTTTATTGTTAAACTAATGGTGTAACTGGAGGAGGGTTCTAGAAGGTTCTAGAAGGTTATTGTTCCAGAAGCTTTATAATAACTCCTTTTAATGATCTTAAGTTGTGTTTGTGACGTTCATATTATTGCGCAAACCTTAAACAATGTAATTCGAGGCCCAGGAACTCAGGAACAGTTTTGATAAAATGTTCCCGATGTAACTGTAGTCGGTTTAAATTGTAAACTGTCATTGATTACTTTGTGTGCTCAGATAGCCATAATGTCGGGTCTACATTCTAGTGTCACACTGTAACCTTAGTAACCATTGTTACACAGACACACTGTAACCTTAGTAACCATTGTTACACAGACACACTGTAACCTTAGTAACCATTGTTACACAGACACACTGTAACCTTAGTAACCATTGTAACACAGACACACTGTAACCTTAGTAACCGATTGTTACACAGACACACTGTAACCTTAGTAACCATTGTTACACAGACACACTGTAACCTTAGTGACCATTGTTACACAGACACACTGTAACCTTAGTAACCATTGTAACACAGACACACTGTAACCTTAGTAACATTGTTACACAGACACACTGTAACCTTAGTAACCATTGTTACACAGACACACTGTAACCTTAGTAACCATTGTTACACAGACACACTGTAACCTTAGTAACCATTGTTACACAGACACACTGTAACCTTAGTAACCATTGTTACACAGACACACTGTAACCTTAGTAACCATTGTTACACAGACACACTGTAACCTTAGTAACCATTGTTACACAGACACACTGTAACCTTAGTAACCATTGTTACACAGACACACTGTAACCTTAGTAACCATTGTTACACAGACACACTGTCACCTTAGTAACCATTGTTACACAGACACACTGTAACCTTAGTAACCATTGTTACACACTACACAGACACACTGTAACCTTAGTAACCATTGTTACACAGACATACTGTAACCTTAGTAACCATTGTTGCACAGACACACTGTAACCTTAGTAACCATTGTTACACAGACACACTGTAACCTTAGTAACCATTGTTACACAGACACACTGTAACCTTAGTAACCATTGTTACACAGACACACTGTAACCTTAGTAACCATTGTTACACAGACACACTGTAACCTTAGTAACCATTGTTACACAGACACACTGTAACCTTAGTAACCATTGTAACACATACTAGTATCACACTGTAACCATTGTTACACTATTCCAGGAGTTGCCAACAGAACGCCCCAAGTACAGATTGTCAGAGAGTACCTGCTACCTGGACACGTTAAGAATGAGAGAGCAGGTGGACCTCCTCAACCTCTACAGATCCTACCATGTGACCGCACTTCCATGGACAAGTTCGTGGAGTTCGTCATAGGAGACGGTCCTAATAACCGATTAGCGCTAATCTGTTCACAGTGCCATTCTCACAACGGTATGGCACTTCCAGAGGACTTTGAGTACACAACCTTCCGCTGTGCTTACTGTTACACAGTAAACCCCGCGCGGCGCAACACCTCCATCACAGCGCAGAACGTGTACAAACTACCCAACCTGCAGGTCAAAGCACCTCCTATTGTAAAGGAGATATCAGACAGTGGGTGTGGTAGTAGTGGTGAGCAGCCCTGTGTTGACATGTTCCCTGGTACTCCTGATGAAAGTGAGGAGAGTGGAAGTGAGAGTGACATGGTCGAGGAGGAAGAGGAGGAGGAGGAGGAGAGAGAGGGAGAGGGGGAGCTTAATTCGACCATACATCTGCCCCCTCCTGAGAAAGATATAGCTGATCTTCTCAGTGAAACTGATTTACTTGATGAAACTGATTTGCTTGATGAAACTGATTTACTTGATGAAACTGAAATAGACGAAATTAATATACGTAAAGCTGAAACTGTTGACGCTGGATGTTAGCAAATGTTATTGTCCTTTTAATTCTTCTGGTCATAATTAATGTTAGATTTTTAGTAATTGCGGGACGAAATATAAACGTGTTGATTTGTTACTGGAATTAATTATCATATTGACATGTTATCTTTTTAATCCTGGATATTACATAGCATGAAAACGAATGGCAGTATTGTTTTTCGTCAGAATTTTTAAAAATGTAAGCGATGAATGTTTCGATGAGGACAAAGCAGTTGATGTTACATTTAAGATTAAAATAACCGAATTTATTTAATAAGATTCAGTTTATTTAGGTTCAGATCGCTGCTTATATGACAATTTCTTCTTTATTTTACCCTATAATTTTCTTTCGTTTGAAGTAGAAAACTTATAACTTAAAATATATCTGATGGTATGTTTGTAAGCTTCAATAGAGCGGTGGAAATGGACGACAGAGATCGCTCAGATAAAAAGAGAACTCGAATTTGTGAATGAAGTATGTTGGGTTTGTAACTGACTAGCATGCTCTGTATTTCGATGGTCAATGTCTAAAACTTTTTCTTATTGCCATGATAAATAATATTTGTAAAGTATCAAAAAGTTGTGAAATGTAATGCTAATGAATAATTATGTAAATTTCTAATAAGTCTGAGATGATTATCATCTCATGACTAATTCCACAGCTAATTTTATCATTTAAAAACTAAGTGGTGATTTTATTCGACTTCCATCCAATCTATGTGCCACCATGACTCACGAAGGAAACAGAAAATGGCAAAGAAAGAGAGGTCCCAGTTTGCCATTTTGTAACACGCGACTACAATTTAAGGGATAAAACGCGCGCACTGCATTTGAACCGCGCGCGCGCCAGCCACATACGGTGGAAAATATTGACCATTTCGCAGATTTTAATCTTGCAACGATTATCGCGCGTTTATCGCATGCGAGACGATTATCGTTTGAGGTGCACGATTATCGCGGTACTAACTTGACGATAAACGCGTGATTATCGCAGGATCGTCTTGTTATCGCACGATAATTGTGATGTCGTACTGTTATCGCACGATAGTTGTGATGTCGTACTGTTATCGCACGATAATTGTTATGTCGCACTGATATCGCACGATAATTGTGATTTCGGACTGTGATTGCACGATAATCGAGAACATATCAAAAATAGCTTTTACTAAGTTACTACAGTTGACTTGATAATGTACATGGTATGAATTCTGATCTATTTGAATTAGAAAGATGGTGCATTTGGGTATTCATACTTTGTGATAACAGGAATATAATGATTACCTGAGGACCCCAGGCTATTATGTTCATTATATAGATTTGGCGGAATGACAGGCTGAGCGCGGCCCAGTAATATAATGATCGCTGTAATGTAGATACAATAATTGGCACACCGCACCTAGCTACCTAGTACCTAACGTTTACTGATACCAGGTCATAAATACCTATTAAAATTCTTTTTCTTCTATGGTGATTTGCTCTAACCAGAGCCCTCTCGCTTGCAGTAGCGCGTCACGCAGTACGCGTACTCGTAGCGGTAGACACATGGCTATGTGAATATGGAGATATTTCATATGATGCATGTACCGTAAGCCTCATATATATTACGATCAACAGTGACACTCTAATTGGTAATGATCATCATAATCAATAATGTTATCATGGTTTACCCACGCAAATAATAGGACTGATGCACGTATTCCGATTTATTTCATACTATCATCAATCATCGAAAACATAAATATTTCATAACTTCAGTTATTATAGTAGTATTTTCTCCGGGAAAACGGTCCCATTGAATGTCATGACCATATATAGTTCATTACTGCAACATTATCAAGCATCGCAAATGGCAAAGTCCACACAACGAATTAAAATATGATCCTATGGCAGATTAAAAATGAAAGAATGTCTCGCGCGCACAAATATTATAGTAGGAACACACATTTTCACGTTGCCAAAAATTAATATGATCTGCGCATTCCGTTTATTAATTGTGGCAAATTTCAATTTAGAACTAGAATTTGGTGGCGGTAGTTTTAGAGAGCAGTCACATATGACTTCAGCAGCCAAGGTTTACAAATGAAAATGCGTTATTGATTTAATGTACGAATAAAATTGTTATAAAATATAAATTGTACAAGATATGATGTGATATGATGTGATATGATGCGATATTATCATGTGATATGATGTGAAATAATGTGATATGATGTGAAATAATGTGAACTGAAATTTTGATTGTGCAAATGAAAATCAGTTAATTTTCAAAATGAATGAATAATATAGATAAATAATGCCTCAAGCACATAAGGCCGGGGTCGTTCACATATTACGCAATCAGCCGAGGGAGGGGGGGGGGGTTTCGAAATGATTACGGTAGTGTAATTTTGATACACTTGCTATGTGTAAAACTGATTACGTAGGGGGGGGGGGGGGGGGGCGGGGGGGGTTTAAAATTGTCCAAAAAATGATTACGTAATATGTGAACGACCCCTAATAGTGTGGGCTACTAAATGACTAATCCCTCTAAAGCTTCGAGATAGTTAATGTTGTCTTCATCATCCTCATTATACCATGAGTTTTCACCTGATACTTCAGGTGAAATCCCATGGTATAATGAGGTGACGGGTGCGGGTGATGGTGGGAGTGGTGACACCAGTGCGGGGGTCACACCTGCAGTTGTCACAACTGCAGGTGGTGGCGATGTTGCTGCTGGTTGTGGACTTGGGCAATTTGGCAACAGAGTTGGTAGCAAACCTGTTGTGGGCTCACGATGGAGCCTCATACAAGTTTAGTGTGGGCTCATGAAACAAACATGGCCTCATACAAGTTTAGTGTGGGCAACATGACAAACAAATCAGCGTCTCAGTGACTTGAACAGCTCACCGGCTGTGACTATCTTTACCAGTGAGCGTTGCCTTCTCTCCCGTTCTAGACGCACTCTTGCATCAATTATGCTCTCTGGTCCATAATCAGAGATGCTGAAAAATAGTACAGTCATTGCATTACTAATAAGTTACGTATTGTATAGCATACAATATTAAGCATGACACGATGACAATCAAATAGAAGTTTTTGAAACTTAGATTAATCTAAACACTACTGAGTCCTTTGTTAAATACTATTCAATTTAATTTAATACCTCGAAGCATTAGACATCACTCGAGACCGGGGGAGGACAGCACATGTCCTGCTGTTCGTGCTGCTGCAATTTATCATTTATTAGTTTAGGATTATCTTATTCTGGTTTCGACATATTTGGGGTTATCAGAAAATTATATTATGAATCAATGAAAAAAAAAACAGCTTCAAACTATTAATATGAAGAAATATTATTTACCTTCCTGACATGTTTCTCGACCTTTCTGCTGAGGGTCTTTGTTGCGGCTGGGGAGTCTGGGGACTACAATTTGATTAGATTAACACGACAAAATACAATTTGGCCGTCCAAGAAATCATGATTGAGGTAACTCAAAAGTGACATACGAAACCAACCTTGATGTTGCAGGCATTTGGGGGGAAGGGCATTCCCTAAGCAACACCTCAGTCTGTAGTTGGGCCAGCTCACGTGCCCTGATTTGACAAATATGCTTCATTGCATTTGTTGTACACTCCTGAATTAAATAATGGAATATTTAACATTTTGAACAACTTCAGAACTTAAATTTCGATACTGTAATAAATAATGACGCTTTCATTAACCTACAGTTTATTACCTTGCACTCTAAGCTGTGCAGGGATTCTGTCTGGACAGCCACATCAGCGGTGATTCCTCCTGTCCTTTTAGCATTGCCAAGTCTATGCTTGCGGTCAGCCCTCATTTTCTTATACCTCAGACCCACTTCCCGCACCGTGTCCTCCGTAACTGCTGACCCTGAAAAGGAATATAAATCAAGTTTATGTGTTACAAACCACTATTATACTAGTTTCAAGTTACCTGAGGACCCCAGGCTATTATGTTCATTAACTGGGCCGCGCTCAGCCTGTCATTCCGCCAAATCTGTTAATGAACATAATAGCCTGGGGTCCTCAGGTAATATAGATTTGGCGGAATGACAGGCTGAGCGCGGCCCAGTAAGTTTCAAGAGCTTATTTTATGAAACAATATCACTTATGTACATCATGTGCGACTTAATCATTCTATGCATGACATGGATGAATCTGGTTTAGATTGGTTGCAACCCAGATGGATTGTAGTTCAATTATTAACTGAAATGGTACACCGCTAGTTTCCGCTAGCTTCCGCCAGGTATTCGCTGGCTTCCGCTAGGTAATAATGCTGTGTGGCGAATTTACGCGCAATATATGTCCGCTAGGCATCCGCTAGCTTCCGTAAGACTTCCGCTAGTCTCCGCTAGCTATCCGAAATTTCCGCTAGGTCCGCTAGTTTTTCCGTAACTAAAATCTGCGAAATCGGCTATATACGGACCCGTGATATATTACCTTCTATATGGCAGAACCTGCCGACAGCCTCCCGTATCTCCTTATCATTTACCAGTGATGGGTTCCGCCCCCTAAACTTCCTAGATAGATCATTATTACTACAAGCATTAATCAGTTATCTTACACTGAATAAACAATCGCACAGTTTAAGCCCAAAGGTAACTGTATATTTTATTACTATACTAACTTAAGAATACATACAATATTTTTAATGAAATAGCAGTTAACTCACTCCATTGCTTCCTCTCCCCGAGCGGTTTCAGCTGTCGGGTCACAGTTAGCCCCGCAAACATTCTCATTCTTTGTGACATGCCTACACTTTATTAGTTTAGAGATTCCCATAATATTACGTAAGGCCCTTAACTGCTATTTCATTAAAAATATTGTATGTATTCTTAAGTTAGTATAGTAATAAAATATACAGTTACCTTTGGGCTTAAACTGTGCGATTGTTTATTCAGTGTAAGATAACTGATTAATGCTTGTAGTAATAATGGGTCGTTCACATATTACGTAATCCATTTTCGGAACATTTTTACCCCCCCTCCGTAATCAGTTTTACACAAGCTATTGTGTCAAAATTACACTAGCGTAATCATTTGGATACCCCCCCCCCCCCTCAGCTGATGACGTAATATGTGAACGACCCCTAATCAATTTCAAATAAGCAGAGAATTAAGCAGAGAATGTATGACAAATGGTATTCTCCACTATTTGTATCTATGAAACATGCATGCAGCCTGCTTGTTGTAGATAGCAAAATATAAATGACGTCACAGCAGGAACAACGTTACAAAATGTTAAATTAAAATAATGGCGGCATTGTGAGTCTCGCGCGAGGTGCATTATAGGCGTGCATTATAGGCGCGGCGTTACCAGGCGCTGAAATTCAATAGCGCTCGATTCTAAGTTCGATTTGAAGATATCAAAACTTCAACGTAAATGCGCGGCACTACATTATAAAACAATAAAATCACGTTATAAAAACGTGGAAATATTGGTATCAATTAGAAAACGTGTAAATTATTTTTAACAAATTTTATCGTCCAATTATCGTGTTATCGTTGTCTGATTGCGCGATAATTAGGAGGTGCACCATAAAAATAAACTTGCTCGGATTTTAAAAATTTTTGTACCATTGTTTTCTAGAGACTGTGAGAATTTTCACAATACCAAATTTGTCATACCTTTTTGAAAAGATCAGCGAGTTTCGCCCAGGTGCCATATTTGATGGTGCGCGGCTTTTGGAGCAAAATTAGCTGTAAAAGTCGCGTAATTTGACCAAATTTGACCAAATTCGTTGATTTTTGTCGTATTATTTGGATATATCTTCAGTTCCTTGAATGAGATCATTCTGAAAATTGGCGACGACCTTCCAATAGGGCTTTCACAACTGTCCGAAAAATTTGGTGGATATCGGAGTTGATATAGTGATCAAAATGGTGCAAAATACGCTGCTTTTAGCTGTAACATAATGTCTAATGGTTGGATATGCTTTAAACTTTTCGGACACCTTCCTTGTAAGTCTATGAGTAAGCTTACCAATTTTTGTTGGACGGGAAGGATACTTAATATCTATTTGTTTGAAGAAAATTGTGCTGGCCGAAATTAGCGCTAAAAAACCATCCTACAGTCGGCACGCGCGGCTCACTGTCGATGGCGCACTACCTACGATAATTGTCATATTTGCGATTATCGTTCGATATAAACGATTATCGTCCGATTATCGCGCGCGCGACGAATATCGTGCGATAATCGGCAGTATAACAGTAAACAGACAATTTATCGTCGATTATTATTTTATGCACGAATATGGAATAGAATCTACAAATTTTCCACCGTGCGCGCGCGCGCACAGCCGGGTCGAGTTCGTTCGTATTTTAGGAGTTATATGCATTTTAAGCAAGAAATTACCTATTTTCCGTCCTTTTACACTCTTGCAATGCACGTCACAGGAGGCCTACATACAGCTCGACGTTATCGTGCTACACGGTGAATTTGCATTGTTCACACTTAGAGGCAACTTTTGGTATACCAAATTTATCAAAATCAGAGATAAAAATGCTGTGCCAACTCATGGCGCTTATTGCATATATAATAGACTAATCGGCCATTGCTCTTTTTGTTCGGAACCAGGTCGGTCATGGTCAGCTGTAAGTTTAAGTTTCTTTGCTCCATGAAAGCAAACTGTGGTGTTTCCCCGCACCGGGATATTCGAAGTTCAATTGTTGACCCCGGTCGTCCAGGCCATTAAATTTAATCAGCAGCGAGAGACGGCAGATCAGTATGCACTTATACAAATCAATTGGAATACTTTTGAAAGAGAATAACAAGCCCAAACACGCAATTTCTCCGTGAAAAGTACAATAACGTGAGTAGCTTTTGTCTATGTGCCTCGATCTTAAACGATTCCTCGTTCAATTTTGGTCGCTTCAGTTTTACGTCAACTTTGTAATAAAGGATCAAGCAAGTTACAGACATATTTCATGAGTATAGAATTAGATGTGCTTTCGGTGGAGATATAACCTGCGCCTTATATTACTAGGTAGTGCGCCATCGACAGTGAGCCGCGCGTGCCGACTGTAGGATGGTTTTTTAGCGCTAATTTCGGCCAGCACAATTTTCTTCAAACAAATAGATATTAAGTATCCTTCCCGACCTCCGATTGCAACAAAATTGGTAAGCTTACTTATAGACTTACAAGGAAAGTGTCCGAAAAGTTTAAAGCATATCCAACCATCAGACATGTTTGTTTGTTTGGGGACCGGTTTTTTATACCCGGCCAATGTTTACAAAATAATATAATACATAACAATATAATTTTATTTAATATGCGTGAATATGAAAATTGAAAATGTTGATTACGTCTATTCATTAAAAACAAAAACAGAAACTTTAAAAATTAAAACTTGTATATCATGATTTATTGACATATAGTGACAAATAATTTGATTTGATACGACAGATGATCACACGCACTGTTTTATAAGCTACTTGAGGTTAAAACAAAAAAGAATAACTGAGCCCATGTCTTATCAGCACCTGCTAGCGCTATCTATATGATGCTATTAATATGACAGTGAATGGGCAGTGAAAAAAGTGGCATATGGTTGATAGTGACTAGTGTGCTAACCGTCTGGTTTTATTTATTCCTTAGTTTATTCTCGGTAGTTGATTTGTTGTGTGCCTGATCTTGTCGATTTACGTAGCCCGGGTAAATTATGTAACAGAAAAGGTGGCCATTCTTCATCGTTTCCTGAGCTTTGTAGTTCTATCATTACACGCTTCGCTGATTTCTTATATATGCTTATTGAGAAAATGCTAGATGGGCAAGTTATGCGACTAATGTTGTGCTCGGTAATAGCTAATATAGGACCTTTATACAGAACACTAGCGCGTAGATCTGGTTGAGAGAACGTTGTTAGCCAGTCGATATTGTCGTCATAAGACGTGCCATACTTTGGTATATCGGGAGGAAATAAGTCTTTTATCGACGACGGCAGAAGGCCAGGCATGTAAGTTATCTTGTGCATCAGAGTCAGAGCATTTTTTATGATGACCCCGTGTACAGATAATATTTCGTACTCTTTAAACGTAGTTTTAGTATGATCCGGAAGCTTACCGTCCTTGTAATAGTAATTCACGTAGCCCGGCATAACTGCTCGTATTCCCTGCTTTTGTTTAGTGAACAGTGATTCAATATGGGATTTTGCAGCAAAGCCCCAAACTAGTGAACAGAAATTTAAGTGAGATTGTACAAAACTTTGGAAGATCTGTAAGCGTGCTTTGATTGGTAATTTGCGTTTTATTTTGAACATAATACCTATAAACCGTGACATTTTTGTTTTGACGGCTCGGATGTGGCTGACCCATTTTAGTTTGTCGTCGACGATAACTCCTAAAAACCTGGCCTCCGTTTTGCGTTCTATAGGAGAGTTGTCGATACTTACTTGTAGAGACGATAGATCTACCCGTCTTTTTGAAAATACCATATAGCAAGTCTTCTTCAGATTAAGAGCTAGGCCGTTCGAGTTAACCCATTTTATCAACACGTCAGTGAGGTGGTTTACTTTGGATATAATGTCTTGTACATTTGATCCGGTGATAATAATGTTTGCGTCGTCTGCGTATAATATAAATTTAGCTAGGTTACTGATTCCTGGTAAGTCATTGATATATATGACAAAGAGCAGGGGGCCTAATATGCTCCCTTGTGGAACACCGTATATCATAGATTCTAATGATGAATTGGAGCCGTTTAGGGAAACAAATTGACTGCGACCACTGAGGTATGACTCGAACCATTTCAACGCTATGCCACGAATACCGTAATGCTCAAGTTTCCTGAGTAATGTCGCGTGATCTAGGACGTCAAATGCCTTGCTATAGTCTAAAAGTAATAAAAGTGCTATTTGGTTCTTATTTAGAGAATGCAGAATAGAGCTCTGAGCATTGAGAAGTGCGTGCTCACATGATCTTCCTGGTCGGAATCCGTACTGATTCTCGAATAGAGAGTTATTCTTGTCGAGAAATTCTAAAACGCGTCTGTGCATTAGTACATTATGTTACAGCTAAAAGCAGCGTATTTTGCTCCATTTTGATCACTATATTATTATTAACTCCGATATCCACCAAATTTTTCGGACAGTTGTGAAAGCCCTATTGGAAGGTCTTCGCCAATTTTCAGAATAATCTCATTCAAGGAACTGAAGATATATCTAAATAATACGACAAAAATCAACGAATTTGGTCAAATTTGGTCAAATTACGCGAGTTTTACACTACAGCTAATTTTGCTCCAAAAGCCGCGCACGTCACCATCAAATATGGCACCTTGGCGAAACTTACTGATCTTTCCAAAAAAGGTATGACAAATTTAGTATTGTGAAAATTCTCACAGTCTCTTGAAAACAATGGTACAAAAAATTTTAAAATCCGAGCAAGTTTATTTTTATGGTGCACCCCCTAATATTACACCTTATTTATATTATGCATTATGATTTAATGCATATGTCATACTCATCATTAATATTATAAATCATCAATGCAGATTTGATGATCCACTTGTAGCACGATGCGCTACTGTGCCGCGATGCGTTACTGTGCCGCGATGCGTTACTGTGCCGCGATGCGTTACTGTGCGGCGTTACTGTGCGGCGATGCGTTACTGTGCGGCGATGCGTTACTGTGCGGCGATGCGTTACTGTGCAGCGATGCGTTACTGTGCCACGATACGTTACTGTGCCGTGATGCGTTACTGTGCCGCGATGCGTAACTGTGCCGCGATGCGTTACTGTGCCGAGATGCGTTA